GTAAAGATGATCTCAGCGAAGTGGAGATTCACAGTGTAGTTCCCATTTCCGAGGCAGAGTCCGTAGTAAGTCAATGATAAAGGAGAGACTCGAGCTGTCCTATAAAGTTCAAAGCTGGGAGAGGAAGCATTAACTGATAACCTGGATGTGTTCTGCACAGTATAATCGTCGGCATCGTCATCATTGTCCATGAAGTTCCCGGTGCTGCTCAACGCCCAGTGCTTGCCAAGGACGTACATAGAAGCACCTTTGGGTTCGTCATCAGTCTGATATGTTATTCCTTTATCCACTTTTACTTCACCTCCTCCGCAATTTATGTACAATTTATACGTATCTACAAGAAAATTTCATTTTTAATCAATCGCTCCACATTTAATAGCTTGTACCAGTATATGATGAACACAAAACAAGCATTATTGTTGCTTACGATGTCTCTTAGGATGAGCACAAGGGAAGTGCTGAAGAAAACAGGTTGAATTCTTGTGTCTGCAACATCAAATTCAGAGGGAAAACACAGAGACCGTTTTTCCGTTCAGTTCACTAAACATAACTGAAAGGACAAAGATTTAAGAAACCACTACAAAGTCATGAGCACCAATCAGTTTACTTCAAAGAGTTGTTTATATAACAGAGAGATGGTTTCTTACGACTTGTTCAAGGCGAAGCCTTCCACCATATTACTGAAAAATGAACCACAAAATTGTTTTAGCGAAGGTATGAACAAAGTATTCTGAATATAACAGTACACTGAAACTTACAAACTAACTCGGTTACAATCACCATTTTTGGGAATTGAACTTTCATCAGTAAAGTTATTATAAGAAACATCTCTGCACATCAAGAAGTACAAATTCAGTTTTTGAAATCTGTTAAAGTTGGTACGTTGGAAAGTTAACAGAGACATGTATTCTTACACATTTTTGTTTCTTTCGACAAAGTAGTTTGGAACACCTCCTGTCAACTTGTTTCCTGTCAAATAACTGATAGAGAAGATTTAGAAAAACTTTCATGATTAGGAAAATTACTCTGTAACTAATTTTCTTACTTACATGAAATCAGCTTTCTTCATCTTTTCAAACGATGAAGGAATCTCACCACTTAGGAGATTAAAACTGAGGTCACTACAAAGTAGACATAACCAACATACAGAGTTCATTACATGGAAATAAAAATCATTTTAAAGCTCCGCTTTTTTTTGCTCAATGTATTTACATGACTTACAGTGTTTTGAGCTTCATCAGATCCCCAATATATTTTGGAATTGGGCCATTTAAATTGCATTTTCTCAGTATCCTGCATTCGAGAAGGATTAACTACCAAACCTATATCGCAAACACAACATACAAATCGTATATTAACTCACAGCGTCTTGATAGACTCCAAATTCTTCAACTGAGGGAAGGAAGACGGTTTGCCTCCTAAGTCGCTAATCCTCCTATCAATCACAACCCACCAAAGAAAAAGTATGATGATAATGTCTCGTGTGTCGTCATTGTTTGACAGAGAAATGATTTGAAAAGAAGTTTTACAAAGGCTTACAGGTCGGTCAAGCTTGTTAAGGTAGAAATACTGGAAGGTATCGGACCATCCAAACCGCAACCATGCATCTGCCTGCAAAAAAAGTCTTTGATTTCTATGTCTTTTCTTGAGGACATGCAAGTACTCTTATGGAGAAAGAATAGATCTTACAGTTTCATTACTCTTGTCCAATTGCCGATGAAATCTGGTATTGGTCCAGTGAAATTATTATCACTTATCCTCCTGACAACCCCACAAATACAATAATTAAAGAATTATCCAACAAAGACTAATAAAGTTTATGTTTGTCATATCAACCATGTAAGACTAAGTTCTCTTACATATCAGTCAGGTTCTTGAGCAATCCAAGTTTTTCAGTCAATGGACCAGTGAAAGCATTTGAAGGAAGATGACTGAGGCAAGAACAGAGAAGATGATAAGATATTAAACTAAGAAAGCAAAAGACTTGTGATGTATAGTGTTGCTGGTTTGTTTATCAATTTGTGCATAATGATTAACGAGTGACTAGACATGACCAGTTTGTTCAATGTCCATAGATATAGATAGCCACAAAAGAAAGGTTTAAGATAAAAGATAGAGAACAAAAAAACTAACAGTTTCTCCAAATGAACCAACTTTCCAATATCAGGAGGGATTGGTCCTGAAAACTGATTTCCTTCTAGGCTCCTGCATAATTTCAAATGATCAACACATTCATATACAAAAAAATCGATGCGAAACACTAGAATCATAACGCAAACATAACTAGAAAGATTTATGATAAGTTTGATAAAGGCTCTAATACAATTCATGAACCAGAACAAGTGTGAAAGTGTAACAACAACATACAAGTTTCTGAGCGTTGTAATGCGGGTTAGGACTTTCGGAAATGGACCAGACAATCGGTTCCCCATGAAAGATCTGTGTAATGTTCATCAAAACCCACAAAGATAAGATTTTGATTGGATTTGATTTCATTAGAGAAGCAATGTAGAAGATACTTACAAATCTTCCAAGCGCATAGAAGCCCATTCCTTTGGAATGGAACCAGTCAGAGAGTTACGGCTAAGGTCTCTGCACCAAATTGTATGAGTTAAGAACCAATTTCTACACTTAAAAGTTAAAAACTTTGAGAAAGTAGGAAAAAGCTCAAGCCTTTGTTTGTTTTTGAGATCACTTACAAAACCTTAAGGTGACGAAGCTTAGAGAATTCTGAAGGGACAATGCCTGTTAAGTTCTGCGACTTCAGAGCTCTGCCAACAAAATTGTTACTTTCTTGACAATTTGATTTGAAAAGGTCTTCTTTTAAAGAACTAGAAGTTTTGGGGTGGAAGATAAACTTCTTTAAAACATTGGGGACAAATCTTCTAATATACTGAAGCAGAAGTTAGAGAAACAAATTAAAACAATATCAATGTACTGGAAAAGTAAATTCTGCTGATGTGTTGTCGAATCGCTACTTTATGAATTTTTTTTTTTAAATGAAACTAGAATTAATATTTTAAAATTAGTACCAAAATTGTATGCAGTTTTTTTCTAATTTTTCATCATCTCAAAATTGATAATACAGATCATGGTTTACTTTCTTATATTATTAGATTATTTTTGTTATTTAGCGATTTTAGTAATGGAATAGAGCGAAAGTAAACGCGTTATTATCTTTTGAATCGTTTACTTTTGGTCAACGAGTCAACGACCAGCTGCCATGTCCAGCCTGGCAAGTAAATCTTGTCGTCACAAAGAGACAAAACCAAACTAGAAACTTTTTTTTTAATCTTACTTCACATGTAAATTTACATCCACCAAACTCTTATTTACTTCTCTTAATTATCTTAAAACCGATGCTTCAAATTATCGTATTTACCTTAAAAAAAAATAAACATTTGATCAGCAAGATAGTATACAAAACTAGAACAAGTGATTATTAATGAAATAATACAGTAGAATAAGTTTTTATATTACAGAGATTTTACGCGTTGTAGACATATAGTTAGTGGTTGTCATTTAAGTGTGAGTTAATGAAAAGATAAGTACTAAATCTTGCAAACCAACCTTCACCAAGGAATTTAGTGGTTTCCCCTTCATTGTCACCATAAATAAACTAGCCACTACTCTGTTTACCCTAAAATTTCCCTCTTTTAGCTTAAAAGTCTAAAAACATTCCACACTATAAAAATGTAATTCTAAACTGTGAAATTCTCCATACTTGTGTTACTTACACTTGTTTTACTGACGGTGAAACCCAATATATGTGACTTGGCACCGACACGAATATTGGACTAAAGAAATTTGTATTTTCCATAAATGGGTAAAATGAAAAAGGAAGATAAGAAAGGGAAGGAGGAAGAAGAAGAGGACTTACATTCTAATGACGTGGCAAGATGAGTTTGGAGGAAGAAAGGAGCAATCACAAGTGATATTACTCTCAAACTCTTTGGTTGTGTAAGTTGTTACAACCCAATTGCCTTCACCACTACATGGATCTTTGTTGAAGTTCCAATCTTTCTTCCCTAGCTTCTCCCCTATCTCCTTTAATGCCCTCACTTCCCAATTTCAAAACCATAACAAATAACCATCATATCATCATCAATATTAAGAAAGTGCTTTGATTTATAAATTCCTCAAAGACTGAGAAGGCGATAGAGATGCACACACATATCCGGACTAGAGACAAGACAAGGAAGCATAACTTCATATTTGGAAACGATACAAGAATAAGGTTTGAGATCGAGTAGTTATAAATAGTACCTTCGGCCTCGTGGAGTTTAGTGTTGTCGGAAAATCCAAGACGGCCATGGAAAGTTAGTGTGAATAAGACGATGATGAAATATATGCGTTGTAAGGAAATCATCTTTTCTATACAAAATAATAAAATATGGTATCACTTCTCGGAGAAAGCTTGTAAGAGATATAGAGAGAGAGACATTTAGGAAGTGGTGATGAATGAGAGAAGCTAGAGCAAATATGGACCACTTTTAGTCGTCAGGATTTAATAAGGTTTGCTGTACTTTGTCATGTTCTCTTAAACAATATTGGTCTTCATCTCATTCTAGTGTGTCTGTAATCTTTTACATATATATTATATTAGGACCCACCAGTACTACTTTTTTTTCGCCCCACTAGGACCCAGTACTACATTTAAATATGCTTTGCTAAGGTTTGACAGAGACCCTTCAGAAATTAAAATTCCAAGCGATTTTGAGATTAGTCTATGGCTCTATGCATGTTTAAGACCAAATACGATATATATCTCATTACATTATTGGTTTAGCTTTTATAGACAGGGGCCAGTCATCCCTTGGAGCCATTACTCGCAAACATACGAGATTACGACTACTATAAAATAAAAAGGTAAAAGCAACCTTATAGTCTTTTCCGCTTGTTATTTTGTTGCGTCCTCGAATCATTTGGTTACATATCGTTCCTACTTTGTGTAATGATGATAATAACAAAGAAAAAACAAATCGAGATTGGGTCTACGGTGGGCACTTTGCAAAACTTTTTTTATTTTCCCTTTCGGTTTAAGTAGAATATGTATTAACCAAAAAAAAAAAAAAAGAGTACTACTAGCTTGTATTATTCGTATGCATATTAGCATATATATATAGACTATAGTTACTGATGATATTCCGTGATCGAGTCTTTGTTTTGTATTCACTTAACGTGGCTTCCGATGCGTACAACGATGCCGTCAATGTCTCTCACGTATCCAACCTTCTGACCCCATTCTTTGTCTTCCGGCTCGCTCACAGTCACCGCACCGTTCTCCACCGCTCTCTGCACAACGCACAATCTCATCACTTATACATCTACACAAAGTGAAGAGGTTGACAAATATAGATAGTATAATTGAGTTACCTTGAAAGCGGCATCAACATCGGGGTAACAGAAGCAGACTTCGATGGGTGCTCTCTCACGGGCTGACTGCGTAGCCTGAACCTTCCCGGTTAGGTCGTCGGTCTCATGCTGGTGAAGTGGTGTGAACGCTATTGTCGTTTGGCCGCTCTCTAGCTCCCCCCACCTGTATGTATAATTAATGTATCAATTTCTTTCATCCATCATTCATTATCATCCATTTTGTCGGGGAAAAAACGATCCCATCGTTTACGTAATGAAAAGGAGTAACAATTGATGAAACAAACCTGTGGGACTCGTCAAGACGACGGACGTTGTGACCAAAAGCTCTAGAGTAGAATTCTACGGATTTAGCTACGTCCTTCACATACACAACAGTGTAAGCAAACGCCGGTCTCATCATATTCGCTGCCATATTTTTCCAGTCTTCTTATGATTCTGATTTCGATCCGATGAAATCCTTGGAAATGCTAATCATCAAAACCTCACAATACATAGGATTTTCTTTACGGTGAGCACAACACGTGGTCGACTACATGCAGCTTCGTGTGTACGGTACTTGCTGCCACGTGAGCTTTACTTTGCTCCTCTTTTGTTTTTTGGGTTTAAATTGGGCCTAATATTACAAATGGGCTTTCAGATAGAAAAATCTCTGGTTATCAGTTATGTTGTGGCTTTTTTTTTAGCTGTTCGATGTGTTTTACACAATGAATGACCAAACGTCGAAAGCCATCTACGATCGTCGATATGTAAGACCCTAAAGCTTTCACGCGGATCGCAATCTTAGACCGTTGAAAGAAGATGAATCGAACGGCCTACAATTTATGTCCTGGGTAGGCACCTTCTTTATAAATGTCAATCCCCCATTTGCTTCTGGAAATTATACATTTTTGAAGAGATTTCATTTCATAAAAACTAGGATCAATCTTCAGGTAATACATTCATTTCTGTATTGCTTAGCGAAAATTTCATTTTATCTCAATTTCTACAAAGTTTTCCCGATTTGTTGCATTTTCAATTATTTGTTTTTGTTTGGAAAGTTTAATTATTCGATTCTCAATTCAATTGATTGATCTGGAAAATCTAGGGTTTCGGTTCGTTATCAATTTACTGAATAATTTTCCTTTTGTTCTTCACAGATCACTGTGAAGAGATGTCAGGAAGAGGAAAGGGAGGAAAAGGATTGGGAAAGGGAGGAGCGAAGAGGCACAGGAAGGTTCTGAGAGATAACATTCAAGGTATCACCAAGCCTGCCATTCGTCGTCTTGCTCGTAGAGGTGGTGTCAAGCGTATCAGTGGTCTCATCTACGAAGAGACCAGAGGTGTCCTCAAGATCTTCCTCGAGAATGTCATCCGTGACGCCGTTACCTACACTGAGCACGCCAGGAGGAAGACGGTGACTGCCATGGATGTTGTCTACGCTTTGAAGAGGCAAGGACGCACTCTCTACGGTTTCGGCGGTTAATCTGGAGATTAGCAAGTTTGGGAATTTCTTGTTTCTGAGATGTGTGTTTTAGGTTTGATTAGTCAAAAAGTAAATCCAGGAGTTAGTTCGTTTTTTTTCTTGTTCTTGTTGTTGTTAGCCAATGTGATGTACTAGTTCAAAATCTTTGCAAACTTTCTGCTAAGAAAATCTTATGCGAATGATCCATTTGTTCTATTTCTTTGTCTCTCCCTCTTCGGATTTGGCACTAAACAAAATGTTTGTTGAAAGCAATCAGCTAACTCTAATTCTCCATCTTCTATGGGAAGCAGCTGCAAATTCTTCAAGCCAAACTAGCGTCGAATCTGCTATGAGTTCATTTTGCAAGATGTTCTATGGTATCATAGACTTGGAAACAGTCAGTTTTATTGCAGAAAATGTATCCAGCAGAGGATACGGATTTCTCTCACAGGGAAAAAAGAGATTGATTGTATCTCTCATCTGATAGAAATTTTACCCAAAATAAATTGTCCATTAATCATTCTTCCAACGAAAACCCAAATTGGTCGACCATAAAAGTTTACAAGTATAAAGACTCAAGGTTTGGTTGAAACATTCATCTTTCTATTACGGGCTGTGTTGGAATACCCTTGTGGCCATGTCCATGAACCAAAGTTAGAAACATTTTTTCATCAAACCAAAAATTATCGTTTAGAGAATTAAACTGCAAGGCTGAGTAAAGCAACAAAGTTAATTTCAGCTAAAACTAACAGTCTAATAATAATGCCTTTTGAATTATTTTCTTACTCCTCCTTTTGCTTAGCGGAGCGAGTGCGGGGTGAGTAGCGGTAGCCACTGGTGCACCTTCCTACAAACTTGAGCACTTCATCTATCAAAATCACCGGTAGAGACACAGCCAGCACTAGCAGCCATTCGTTCAAGCTCAGCGGCACAATACCAAACACTTGAGCCAAGAATGGGACGTACAATATCACAAAGTGGAGCCCAAATGAGACCGCCATTGCAAGGAGCAGCCACGGGTTCACCCATGGTGGCATCGTCACCAGGCTCCCATCTTCTGAGAGTGCATTCAGAGAGTTGAACATTTCAATGGCCACCAACACCGAGAGGGAGAGTGTCGATGCCTTGATTTTCCCCTGCTGGAAATAGTCGCAAGGGTTTGAGTCGAATGAGAAAGTCTGAGAGCCTGCCGTGAAAGGAGACACTTTGAAGCCTTCCCACGAAGAGCACTGGCCCCAATGTGCGAGCTGCGAATAGCTCACAAGGCTGTGACCGTCTTGGCTCAAGTCTATGCCCATGAAGCTGTTGTGTGTGTACCATATGATGAATACTCCCACCGTTGCTACTCCCACATACATACCAATCACCTGTAGGTACGTACCCATAATAGTCAGTTAGAAAAAGCCCCAGAAGATGAACAAGTGAGACAAATCAGTTTTTTCATACCATGTAGCGGAAGAGAATCCAGGCAGTGATAAGAGAGTCATCACTCCTACGAGGAGGCTTCTTCATGATGTCCTTGTCAGGGGGATTGAATCCCAGAGCCGTAGCTGGAGGACCGTCTGTTACAAGATTCACCCACAGAAGCTGAACCGGGATCATGCCTTCTGGGATTCCAAGAGCAGCTGTCAAGAATATCGATGCAACCTCACCGATGTTGGAAGAGATCATGTACCTTTTATTCATCATAGTCAGATATATAGGGTTAGTATGTATAAATCAGGCAATTAATACGAAGAGGCATATATATGTAACATAAGAAGACTCACCTGATGAAGGCCTTCATGTTATTATAGATGGACCTGCCTTCACCAACAGCTGCAACAATAGTGCTGAAATTATCATCTGCCAACACCATGTCAGATGCCTCCTTTGCTACCTACAAAATGCCCAGAGCTTTAGAAACCTGATAGAGCTATCATCATCCGTAGTTGAAGATGAGGGAAGCGACAATACCTCTGTGCCGGAAATGCCCATTGCCACACCAATATCAGCCAACTTCAAAGCAGGAGCATCATTAACTCCATCTCCAGTCATGGCAACCACTTCTCCATCTTCTTTAAGTAACCTGACAATCTCTTGTTTGTGTTTTGGTTCAGCCCTTGAGAACAAGAGCCCTCCAGTCTGTCTTAGATGATTCTTCTGATCTTGGACATCCATAAATTCTTTTCCTGTCAAGCTTCTCGAGGAGATATCTTCATCTGCTTCAAATACGCCAATTTCACGGCAGATCGCTTCCGCTGTGCTCTTGTTGTCTCCGGTGATAACCATGACCCGAATACCTGCTGTTCTGCAGTCTGCAATGGCTTGACGCACCTCTTTCCTTGGAGGATCCTTCAATCATTGAAAAGGTAGAGCATGAATAATTATTAATGAGGAACCAGAAAGAACGAAAAATATCACGGTGACCGTGACTCACCCTTAAACCAACAAATCCAGTGAATACTAGATTGGACTCAATTGATGAATAATTGGATGGGTTGAGAAGTTGCTGATGAGCAGGATGGTCTTCACTGCCGTCATAAGTGGCAAAATCTGATGGAACATCTGAGTATGCAAATCCGAGACATCTTAATGCACTCAAGGACATATCATGTAGGCTTTGTAAAATAAGATCCCTTGAGTATTGGTCAAGCTCTCGAATGGAACCATCAAGTAGCTGAATACGTGTACTCCTTTCCAATACATTTTCTACCGCACCCTGCATAATTTCAAAATTGGTCTCTTAGGTGCTGAAAAGGAGGGGACAAAGGTTTTCTCGACTAATAACATACAAGAACCAAAGCAGAAGCCACTTGATTTCCCAAGCTCGACCACAGGAGTCAGGAGGCAGGATATGATCAATGATAAAAAAAAAACAGACCTTGACCAGTAGCAGCTTCTTTCCTGAGCTCGAATCCACCATAACTCCCATTGATTTCCGGTCACGGTCGAACTCAAGGGTGGCAATTCGTTGCTCTAGTTCACTCCACAGCCGACAACAACCTTCAATAATGTTAGAAAAAGGAAAAGTGCAGGAGGTTAGCATCTGTAAAACTGTATAAACATAAGTAACAGATATAGTTCAGAATACATACGTAAGACATCGCCATCGGATGAAGTTTCATTCAATCCTTGGGGGAATCCCATTTTCTCAACCAAAACCTGTTCAAATAAACACACCAATAAAAAGAAAAAACAATTAAGGAATACGACCAGAAGAAGTGTTTTTAGTCAATTTTGTTAAGAAGAGAAAGGTGCAAGCTAGTGTAGTAGACTGTTTTACCTTCAAAGCTGCCTCAGTAGGCATTCCCCTAGACACAAATTGCTGCTCTGATTGCTCAACACTAGCATCGTTGCAAATGGCAGCAATTTTGGCAATCATCTGAAGATTTGCATCCATCCGACCTGTTGGCCAATCTTCAATCTTCCCATCTCGAGGATCAAACGAGGTCCCCTCAACATTGAAAGATCGAAGGGTTCCAATCCTAGAACCCATAGCAACAAGCTTTGAAACAGCCATCTGATTGGTTGTAAGAGTTCCAGTTTTGTCAGAGCATATCACGGTGGTGCATCCAAGAGTCTCCACACTGGGTAGCTTCCTAACCAGAGCATTCTTCTGAGCCATCTTCCTAGTGCCAAGAGCCAAACATGTGGTAATAACTGCTGGCAGACCTTCAGGAATTGCAGCAACCGCCAATGCAACAGCAATCTCAAAGTAGTATGTGCACTTCTCGAAGGAGAACTTAAAGTTTCTGGGCCAGCCATCAACATACTCCCATGACAGAAAGTATTTGACATTGATGAGCCACACTAACGCGCAAATTAACCCAATGATCATAGTCAGAACTTCCCCAAACTCGTTAAGTTTTTTCTTCAGAGGGGTATCTTCCTCGTGTTGTGCAGCTTCCTGGATCTGTGAGTGAACCCTTCCAATCTCAGTATTCATCCCAGTATCTGTAACTAAGCATATACAGTTCCCATTCACAACAGTGGTTCCTGCAAATACCATGCATTTCTTTCCTTGAATATCGGCATTCTCATCCACATGCTTGGTGGTTTTGCTCACTGCCTCACTCTCTCCTGTCAAGGACCCCTGCTCGACTCTCAAGGTTGAGCTGATCAAAGCAACCACACGCATATCAGCAGGTACCTTATCACCAACCCTCAGTTCCACAATGTCACCAGGAAC